ATTCTACAGCTCCACCCGTCTCTCTGTGATGGGTTAGTTCTCGGCTGTCTCACTGAATTTGCTACTGAGCGGGGGATCTTCACATTCCTTATCTAGCAGGTTTGTCTTTCCCCATTTGTTGCATCTTTAAATTTATGGCCCAGTCCTCTGGATGGACATCCCTGCATTGAAGCTAAACAGCTGCCCTTCTAAGTGGTCCATAAATTAAACCACTCTCCATTTCTCCAATCTCTGCCTCCCTTTACCACCCGAAGGAAATCAGGACCAGCGTTAACAATGTTGTCCTTGGTCCTGGCATGTTTGTTTTTCCTAGTGGAATTGGTTACACGCCTCTTGCTGCCCTTCTCTCTGAAGCCTTCCTCAATTCTCCAAGGTCTCCTCCGGCAGTGTCCCTAAAACTGCCTAATTCCTAGCTTGCCCTGTGTCTCACTCTCACCCTCCCGCGCTTCTGACTGTCCCCAGTGCTTGTATAAATAACTAAATCTTAAAAAAAAAGAGAGAGACAGACAGACGCCGGCCCGAGGGGCGCAGCTGCCACGTCCAGAGCAGGAGCCGACGGCCTCGCGTCCGCCGAGCTCCTGCAGAGGCACAGGGGGTGGCTGGCGGCGAGGACTCCAAGGGCCGCTGGTGCCCAGTGCCCAGCTGAAAACTGCCGTTTGGAACAAAACGGCCCCAGACCCGCAAGCGCGGGAACGACGGGGGATGCCCGCGGGCTGCGAGGAGGAGGCGTCCTCGGGCGTTGTGCGGGGGGGGGGGGGGGGGCGGAGGTCAGCCTTAAGCTGCTCCCCAAGGCCGTCCGCTAGCACGTGCGGAAACACTCGCGCCCAGGCCCTCGCGCGTAGCGGTTCCAGGCCCGGGGCGCGGGCCACCCGGGCGGAGCGCGCTGGGGGCGGGGCCGCCAGGGGCTCGATGCGGATGAACGGCCCCGATTGGAGGGAGACGTGCCCGTCAGGTCAGAGGGGCCGGGCCTCCGAGGGGCGGTGCTGAAGGACACCGGGTGTCGGCGAGGCCCAGCTTGGTCATAGGCCGCGCCAGCCGGAAGGGGCGGGCCCAAAAGGCGGGGCTCCCGGTCGGCGGGGCGGACTTCCGGTGGGCGCGGCGAGAGAACGCGTCAGCCAGGGAGGCCAGGGGTGGGCGAACCCGGGCTCGCCCCCCGCCCTGGGACCCCGCGGCGCCAGCACCCCCGCCCCCACCCCCACCCCGAGCCCAGGGTCGCCGTCCCGGACGCGGACGCCTCAGGAGACCGGCAGCTGTCCGGGGCCGGCGACCGCGGCGCTCCTCCCACCGTGCCTGAGGCGGCCGGCCCTCTAACCGCCAGGGACAGTGTATTGGGGTCCCCGGGTCCTGGGGCGCGGGGTGGCGACCCCACCGAAGGCAGAGGCGCCTGGCGGCCCCTCGGGAAGCTTCGCCGCGCCCGCTCTGTCCGCGCACGCTCGCCCGCCCGGCGCGCAGGTGCCCACGCTCCCGCGCGAACGCCACGCGCGGGCCACTCGGCGGAGTGGGGCGCCCCGGGAGGTGGGCCGGGGCGGGGGCGGCGCCCGGGAGCGCGTGGCCACGAGGGGCGGTCGGCGCTTCTGGAGGCGGGGCCACGGGAAGGTGCCGTCTCCGCCTCCCTGGACGGGCGTGGGGTGTCGTGCCCCCGCCCCCGCTTGTCCCAGGGCCTCTGGGGGGGGGGCGTGGGGAGCCGCGCAGAGGGAGCCCTGGGCTTCCCTAGAAGTGGGGCGAGCGGGAAGCCTGCCTCCCCGAGGTTCTCACGCTGGGGGTGCATGACCGCACCTGCGAGCTTGTTGAGACGCGGGGTGCTGGGCCCCAGCCCAGTCTCCTATTTTTTTTTTTTTTTAAGATTTATTTATTTATACAGGCACTGGGTGCAGCCAGAAGCGCGGGAGGGTGAGAGGACCCGCCAGAGCCAGAGCGGGGAGCAGAGCAGGCAGAAGGACCGAAGGACACTGCTGAGGGGAGCAGCGGGCGGCAGGAGAGGTCTGCGCGCCATGCGGGACCCTCGCCCGGTGGCCGGGGAGCAGCCGGGGATCGAACCGGCGCCGCGGAGGCCGCGGGCGGCTTCGCAACCCAGCGCTCAACCGCTGCGCCACCGGGGAGGCCCCCAGTCTCCTATCTTGCAGATCTGAGGCGGGGCTCAGACTTGGCCATCTCGCGGGGCTCCCGCGCTGGCCCAGGCTGGGGGGGGGGCCGCGCACTGCGGCTTGTTGGCCTGGGAACCCCACTCTGAGAAGCACGGCTCCCCAGCCTCGTGCCCCCCTGCAGGGGCCTGGGAAAGGTGGGCCCGGAAGGCTGGCCGTGGGGTGGGCGCCGCTGTCCCTCCCCTCCCCGCCCCGGGTGGCCTCAGACCAGAGGGGACCAGCGTGTCAGGGGGCTGCTCCCAACGGGAGCACCTGCTGTCCCCTCTGCAGACTCCTAGGTGAGAGGGCCCGGCCTGGGGGGGCGTGTCCCCCAGTCAGCTCTGCTGCTGCCACCCTGGCCCGGCACCCTGCCCGGTTCTGGGCACAGGGCCCCCGGGCGGGTGTGAGCCGGGCCTTGTGCCTCCTGCTCTCCTCCCAGCAGCTGGGTGGAGCCGGTGCTCCTCTCCCTGGTGCCCCTCTCCCTGGTGCCATCTGCCTGTCCTTGCCTGGGGCCCCTCGCCGGACGGTGCCCAGTCTGGCTCCCTCCCGCCCCTGCCTGGGTGGGCCTCGGGCTCGCGCCAGGTCTGTCCTGTGCCCTCTGCCCGGGGCCTGTGTCCCCCACCTGGGCCTCCTCTGCCTGCGCCGCCCTGCACGTGGGCACGGGAGGTGGCGTCCGCGGGGACGGGCATCCCTGCGTAGCCGGCTCTGCTCTGGGGCACTTCTTCCCGGGAGCCTTGCCCGCAGGGGCTTTGGAGGGGATGGACGCAGGACTGTCTCCTCTTGGCAGGAGCCCCCGCCGGGGGCGGGGGCAGGGGTGTGCCCCGTGGGTGCAGAGCCCTGGGGCCGGTCGGCAGGGGCCTAGGGGCGAGGGTGGCCTCTCAGGGGAACCTCTGTTCTTCTAGGCGCTGGACGTCTGCGGACCTGGCTCTGCCTTCTCCTGCCTCGTTCCCAGCTGTGCTGCTTCTGGGAGCCTGGGGGGCGTGCCTGGTCCCTCCTGGCCAGTGTGGGCACGGCCGTGGGGAGCCGTGCGGGGGCGTGGCCGCGCTCGGGTGCCTCTCAGTGCCTGGCCACCAACCGGGAGCCCCGGCCAGGTCAGTCCCGCGCGGAGCCACGGCCACTCCAATGTCTTGGCCCGAGGTGCAAGCAGTGGCTGGTTCATCTTGAGGAGCATAGGCTGTGCACCCCTCAGCCTGCCACATGGCGGGCGCTCGGGCCCACCTGGTCTGGTGGTGTCCTAAAGGGAGCTGGCCTTGCACAGCAGGAGGTCAAGGCATCGCTCCCCCAGACCTGCCCAGTGCTGAGGTGCTTCCCTCAGACTGGTGGGGGAGCCTTGGTCAAGGGGCTCATGAGGAATAACCTTGGGCTCCTCCCCGCACATCCCCTCCCTGCTGTCCCCAGGGCCTCCCGGGGCTCCGGGTGTGCTTCCCTCACTCCTGCCTGGGGCTCCACCTCACCTGGCAGTTCCCTGCTTAAGTCACTTGCCTTGTCTGCACCTGGGCATCTCTGCCTCCTCCTGTGCCCCTCATACCTGCTTCGGCCTTGGGAGGAAGTGCCAGGGGGTGGCCCCCGGGAGTGGGAGCCTGGAGCCCTCTAGGCGGTAACCTCAGAGCCTTCAGGAGCTTTCTGGTGAGCGTTTAGTTGGCGACCGAAGGCTTTGGCCCTTTAGGGTCCCACCCAGCCCTCGGGACCCTTGCAGCCATGCAAGACTTCAGATTGGGGGACCTAGAGCCCTAAGGTGCCCTTATAGAGGTCAGAAGCCTTTGGGGCTGGGAAGCAGCCCCAGCAGCATTGTGGGCCGTTGGGCCAAACCTAAAGGGGAGTTTTCGGTGGGCCCCAGCCCACTGGGACTTCTAGGAGGCTCATTTTGCCGCTCTGGGGCAGGAGCCTGGAGAGTCCTGAGAATGAAGCGGTGCCCTTGTGGAGTGAATGAATGAAAGACGGTTGTCCAAGGATAGCAACTGCTCTGCCCTTTCTTTCCCCTCAGCCACATACCGCCGAGTGGGGTTGCCCAGCTCACCTAGCCTCCTCTCCAGGCCTCAGGCCGAGTGGCCATTTCCCCGAGAAGCTTTCGGTTTCCCCCCCGCTTACGCAGTCCCTTGCTGTAGGGCCACACACACAGTAATGTGGGGAGCCTAGGACAGAGCCAGAAGAAATGGCCAGGAGCAGGATGGGGTGAGTGCAGCCCCAGCCCTGATAGGAACTTGCCTGGGGGCTAAGAGCCCCCCAAGCCTTGAGAGCCCAGGGGTGCATGTGCAGGTACCATATGGGTACATGGGCACTGTGCCAAGTGAGAGGAGTTGGTCACAGGCAGGCAGAGGGACTGAGGTCAGTGCCTGCTGGGGAGCCCTGGTGACCCTCTGCTTCCTACCTGCTTGATGGTGCCGGCCCCCGCCCTGTGCTCCCCCACTGCTGACCCCAGCGAGCCAGGTGCATGATTTCCGGGGCCCTTTCCGCCCCAGCGTGCCTTAGCATTGGCTTTTCGGAATCTAAATGTTGAAGTTCGGAAAACCCCCATGGCAGAAGCCTGCACGTGAGACACGCCAAGCCGCCTTAGCCAGGAGATGGGCGAGTCCCCTGCAGTGCTGGACGGGGCTCCTGGAAAGCCAAGAAATGGCCCCCCAGAGGCCCCAGGCCCTTTCTGGCCCCTGCCCTGAGCTCAGCTCTTACAGGCTGCAGCCTGGCCTGCATCTCCGAGGGGCCCTAGTTTTTGTCCTAAGTAGTCCTAAGAGCTTTCTCTGGGAATGAGTCAGAATGAGCCCCGGAAGCAAAGCCCCAAGGTACCCATGGGCAGCATGAGGGCCCCGCCCCAGACCACAGCAAGAAGGCAGAGCGTATAGCTGGGGCAGGGAGTGGGGAGGAGGGTGGAGCCAGAGACCCGCCCCACACAGGGAAGAGCAGCACATAAAAATAAATGGTTTTTTATTGTGTATCCACGAAAACAAAGTCAGGGTGGCCTTTGGCTAGCCCCCGAAGAGGTGACAAGGAACAGGAGGCATGCAGAGCCACTGCCCTTGCATTCCCTCCAGAAGGGTCTTGCTCTCCTGGCCCTAAGGGTCAGAGGCCAACATGGCCAGGAGGCTCCAGAGGACAGCCCTCCCGGTACACCAAGCCAGAGGGTCTGGGCCTGCTGCCTCCCTGGCAGAACGAGGAAGAACAAGTCAAGGGAGCGAGCATGGGCCAGGCCCAGCACCCCCAAGCTAGAATACACACAAAGCCCCCACCCCACCCCCAGCAAACACTGCGAAGGCAGTCAGCCGGGACTCTGAGAGCAGCTGCCGGGGCCAGAAACCAGGGCCTCAGGGCTCCGTCCAGAAGGGGTTGCCGTCCTCAGCCTGCATGGAGTAGTAAACAAAGAGCAGGAAGGCAGCAAAAACCAGGAACAGGAGCAGCTGGCCCCAGAGGGGGACCTGGCGGTCCTGCCCCAGATCAGCCCCCGGAGCTGGCTTTTCGGGGCGGATGGCTCGTCGGGCAAGCCACGAAGAGGGGGGAGATGAGGACACGGGAGAGGGGGAAGATGGAGGATAGTAGGACAGGCCCAGGGAGCTTCTGGAGATGCTGGGCGCAGGGCGGTAGTGCGCAATGCTCTGGTAGGCGCTGTCCCGGCCATAAGCACGGCGTTCCCTGTGGCAAAGTGGGGCGCAGAAGGGTCAGGAAGGCCAGGGCAAAGATCAGCCTGGCCCCCAGCCCTCCCTACTCACCTATCCTTGCTCTCCTCTTCAGAAGAGAAAAGGCTGTCATCACGCACCTAGAGAAGACCCAGAGTGAGGTAGGTGGCTGGTACGGACTTGCTGTAGCCCCAGTGTCCGTGTCCCTGCCTGGCCTGTCCTGCTCACAGCTCAAAGGCCAGGCCCTGTCTCAGCTCCCAGCTACAGCTGCCGGCCAAGCCCTCCCTCGCGGCTGGCAGGCCTGCCTCCCGGCCCTCTTTCTGCTGAAGGACTCTCAGCAGCAGGAACCCAGATTCCGAGCCCAGATGCGGGCCTGTCCTGGTGCCCGAGTGACAGTTCCCCGGGGGAGGGGGGGGGCTGAGCGGGCCAGCAGGCGCGGGAGGCACTGTCCACACAAGTGCCCCCTCCACTTCCCTTGCTCAGGCTGGTCCACCCCAGAGGCCTGGCCCCGCTCACCTGGCGGTGGAAGGTGTCCCCGCTGGAGAGTGAAGCTGGGGGCTGCCGGAAGCCCTTGGAAGAGCCCGCGGCCTCAGGCTCACCGTAGGTGCTGGTGCTCAGGTAACTCTCCTCGTAGTAGTCATCGTTACAGCCTTGGGAGGGGGCAGCGGTGGTGAAGGGGCAGCAGGAGGGTGCCCCCGCTCCTAGCCTGAACCCCGTTTGGGGGCCGCTCAGGGAGGGTGGGATGGGGGCCTCAGGGCCCACACGGAAGTCCCGGAGGAGGTGGAAGGTATCAGGGTGCCTCCCCCCACCCCACCCCTGGGGCCCGGCCTTACCCTTGCTCTGGTAAAGCAAGGCGTCCTCTTTCTTGGGCAGATCGTACATATCCGAATCCACGGAGGCAGAATCGAAGTCTGTGGGGGGCAAAACCGTTTGCCCCCAGGCTCCTCTCCCGCGCCCCTCCCGCCAGTGGCCGGGCCACACCCTCTCCGCCCTAACCCATCCCGGCTGTGCAGGTGGGGCTCGGGGCGGGGGCCTCACCCGAAAACCGGTAGGAGAAAGAGGTCGCGGATGAGTTCGGCGGCGACAGCCTCCGCCTCTGGGTCTCGTATTCGAAGATCTTCTTCTCGTAGAGCTTGCGCGTGGAGCCTGCGGACGCGGGAGGGCGTGGTCAGAGGCGCCGGCCCCCGAGCCCGGGGGCCCCGAGCCCGGGGGTGGCGCGCGCGGGAAGGCCCGGAGCCGGAGCGGCGCGGGGGGGGGGGCGCGTACCCACGACGGGCCCGTGCGGGATGTTGTACTGGCGCAGCACGGCGGCCAGCTCGGCGTCCGACAGCACCGCGTAGTCGTCCATGGCGGGCGGCGGGGCCTGGGGGCGGCCCGGGCCTGTCGACGCGGGCCGAGCGACGCGGCCTTGGAGGGCGGCGGGGGCAGCGCGAGCGCCTCGGGAGCGGCTGCGCGGGCGTCACGCTGGCGTCACGGCCGCGGCTCGCGGGCGGCGCACGCAGCCGGGGCGGAGCCAGGTGAGCCGCCGCCGCCGGCGCAGACCGGCCCCGCCGTGGGAGCGAGCAGGGAGGGGCGGGCCCGGAGCCGCCAGCGCCGGGATTGGCTGGAGGCGCTGGGGGGCGGGGCTTGCGCGGGAGCCCAGGCGGCACTGGCCGGTCTGGCCGTGGGAGCGGGCGGGGCCGCGGGGCCGGGAAAAGGGGCGGGGTCAGCGAATCCAGACGTCCCCTGCGGGGCGGGCCGTGCGCCGAGGAGCACACGCCCACGGCGGCCGGCCCGGGCGCGCGGGACCCAGCGACGAGCGAAGACGACACCCGCTGGCGGGCTGGGGCCGGGCTACGGGAGGGACAGGACCTGCAGAGTGGAACCGGCAGAAACCGGCCTGGACGCGCAAGCTGGGTGGGGTCGGCACTCTGGGCATGGCTCGCCCTGCCGAGTCACGGAGGCTCCGCCCCGCCCCGCCGCCCCCGCCGTTCCCCGCCCCCGGCCTCCAGCACGTGGGGTTCCTCGGTCCCACCCGGGCCCGCAGGCCGGAGACGCCGAGCGGCCGACGGCTGGGGCCCCCTCCGGACAGCGAGCCCGTGGGCTCCCGGGCTGGCGCCGCGGCCTGCGCTTGGCACGTCGGGGGCTCCCGGGGCTGGCGCCGCGGCCTGCGCTTGGCACGTCGGGGACGCCCCCGGCCCCCGCCCCACCCGGCACCGTCCCCGCTGCGCACCTGCGCCCGCCCGACCCTCCTCCCTGCTCTCCGCCCCAGCCCGGGGAAGTGGGGCACTGGGCCAGGAGGCCGCCCGCTGCCAGCAGCCTTGGAGGGGGCCGGGCGTGCCAGTGGGCCCCGGCCCAGGCCGTCCGTGATGCCGCAGACGGCGCCGTCCGCCCGCCGCACCGTGCCCTCCAGCTCGGGCACTGAGAAGAGGGGGTTTCCCCTCCTCCGGACGGGCCCCTGCGCCCGGTGTGACGGAGGCGGGGGCCAGGTGGGGGCTCCCAGGCCCGGGGGGGGGCCCACTCAGGCGTTCCAACAGACCCGGGCTGGCTTCACTGGGGGGGCGCGGCAGAGTGGGACCGCGGGACTTGGGGGAGCCGAGGGGCTTGGCATCAAGCCAGGCGGCCAGGTTCTGCGCAGGAGCCTGAATGTGAGTTGGACTGGCGAGAGGCTTGGCCAGTAAAGAGCTGTCGGTGGAATGGGAAGGAGGCCACAGTCGTGTTCTAAGGGAATCCACCTCCAGGGCCAACAGAGGTGCCCCCGTCTGGGCAGGCCCCTGCACGGGAACATGTGGAGATAGGGTGCTGTCTCTGGTCTCCTACGTGGCAGCTGGTAAAGGGGAGAGAAGAGGACAGCTCTGGTCAGACACAAGCTGTCTGGTACAGCTGGGGCATCGCAGCAGTTCGCCGGGCTTCTCTCAGGGTGGAGAACAGGCAGCAGACGGAGTGGGAAGGAACGGGCTATGCTGGTTGCTGCACGAAGACCCTCAGAAGACTTGCTGTGGTCTGATTTAAAGGCCAGGCCTGTTCTGTCTCCCCAGTTATGGAAAGGGGGTATGTGGCTTCCTAGTCACGTGCATGGCAGCCCAGAGGGAGAGCCCTGGCTCGCTGCTTATCTCCTCCAGCAGGGAGGAGCCGGCTTGGGCTCTGGGCCACTCAGAGGCAGCCTCATGGAATCTTGAGTTTTGGCAAGAGCAGAGTCCCCAGCACCTCTCCAAGCCTCCTTTTGCACCGCTGGCCCCTGTCCCGGAGGCTCAGCCCTCCCCCATGCCACCCCTCCCTGCGCAGATCCAAGCTGTTTCCTTATGAGGTCAAGGAATCTAGTTTGCCTTCTCCCCAAGGAACACCCCCACCAGCACCTGCCTCGGCACTCTGCCTTTTATGTCCCCCCACCGTTAACCCACTGAAGTCCCACCATGGATGGCGCAAGGAGACTAAACTGTGACAGTCCCCTGTGCCCACTCTCTGAGCCCCTGGAGCCCGTGGCCACACAGGTCCATCCCAGACTAGCAGGAGTTAGGCCAGCCCTGGTGCACTAGGCCCTCGGGGCTGTGCACCACCCTGTCAGCTAGAGGAGGAAGCAGGGGCTGGGGCAGGAGAAGACTTGCCTGCCCCACAGCTCCAAGTGCAGCGATTTATTCGTGGCCTGGCCCCCCAAGCCAGGACCTAGTCCTCAGCAAACCCCTTGGCTGGCTCAGCAGTCATCACGGGGGCTATGAAAGAAGTCTGGGGCCTGGTCCAGGGGTCTTCCTGACAAGGGTGGGCAGAGTGAAAGAAGAGGATTTCTCTGGAGCTGCAGCCGGGGGCAGAGGGGCAAGAAGCTGCCCAAGCCCAGTCAGAACAGGAAACGCTTCGCCTCCAGGTGGGGGAAGCAGCGTAACGTGTCAGCTGCAATCCTGGCGAGGTTGGAAGTGATAAGGAAGGATCTTTGTCAGCTTGAGTGCTTGTCTCAGTGCCGTATCCAAGGTGGTTGCTCGCTGCGCTGCCAGTGTTTTCGAGGTCAGAATCTGCTGGGTGCTTTAGAACAGCACAGAAGTTTTTTGTAATGTGAAAGAGTCTTTAGGGTGCAACTGGTGTTCAGGCGCTTTGAATCACTCAGTAAGTCGCAGAAGCCATCAGGTGGTTATCGTGAGGACGAGTGTGGAGGGTGTCCACTAAACGCAAACTAGTGAGTGGTTGCTGCCCAGTGCTTCTCAAAGAACGCCTGTGTCCACACCCTGGCACACATGGCTCTGTCTCACTGCTGCTGGCGCGAGAGGGCAGGTCCAGCTGCCTTTGCAGCAGGAATGGGGCAGATTCCAGTGATTTTCTGAAACCCGCAACATAAGAACAGGTCTCTCATGTGTTCTGGCCTTCGCCAGGGGACAGCTGCCTCTCCCACACTGGAAGAAGTCAGGACTGAGAGCTGCATGTGCTCAGGGTAGGGGGTACAGGCAGTAGTGTAGAGGACTCAAATGGAAGTGGGGCTTCCAAGATCTCCCCCCCCCAGCCTTCTGGGTGCTCACCCAGCTCTTGTGCTCTGGCTGCAATGCCTGTAGCGGGTGGATTTCCCGCCTCGAACGACAGCCTTGACCATGAGCTCCAGCACAGCTGCCTCGCGGGACCGCGCTCATGTGCTCGTTATCCAGTGGTGGTGGGCAGAGGGCCACTTCCGCCAGGGGAGAGACCCTGCTGGAGCGGCGCGCTAGGAGATGCCCACTTGGGTCAACATAGAAGGTGACCGCGGCACAGGCAAGAAGGCAGCGGAGGCCGTAGGGAAGCCTGGAGGGCCTCTGGCTCCCTGTGTTCGGGAACTGTAGATGGCAGGTGTGACCCAAAGCCCTCCCACCCTCCTTCCTGCTTCCCTTGCTCTTTTGTAATGAAGTAGATAAAATAGAAACTACCAAGGACTTTCAGATGGTTCGGGAAAATTTCCTTTTGTGAGACCCTTGGCTTAGTTGTTTGAGTCCATCTGTGCGCACACAGACACTGACTGGGGGTATAAAAGTCACTTACTGGGGGCTGTGGGCAGGCAGAATGTCAAACGACATCATTTTATGCAGCCTCCCTGAGGAAGTGACACTTGAGCTGAATCTGAAGTTACCAGGAAATGGGCACATAGAAGAGGAAGAGGGTGTGCCTGGCAGTGCCAGGGTGTGGCTGTGCCCACCCATTTCACAGACACTTGGCTCTTTGGCTGCACTCCACTGCACACCCAGACTAGGAACTGCACCTCCTTTTTGCTCCTGACGCACCAGTACGTTTCACCAGTCCACCTGGCATCCAGGTGTCAGGGCCACATCACTGTGGCAGCCGAGATACTGGTTAGTCATGGGGCTCGGTAGCTGCCCCACTGTGGCCTAGCAGGTGGTGGGCCATCATGAACACCTGCCCCCACCCACGGGTGTGGAATTGGGGCAGCAGGCCTGCAGGGCGGTGGCTGGGGGGGGTTGGTTCCTGGAGGAGGGGAGCCTTTTCTGCCTCGGCTCAGAAGTGGTCTCTTGAGGGAGCCCCCCGCCCCTCCCCGCGGCCCTCGCAGGCGGTGAGCTCATCCCGGGGGGCGGTTTGCCAGGAGGCCCGGGCGCTGGAGCTTGCGGCACCCCCGCCCCCGGCTCCTGGGCGATTTTACCAATTAAGGCTTTCTCGCCGGGTCGGGCCGGGCCGGGCCGGGCGCGGGGCGGGCGCGGGGCGGGGGTGCAGCCACTAGAAGGCGGCGGTGGGAGCCCATTCGCCTGCAGGCGCGCTGCGCGCAGCGGCCCCGGCGGAGTCCTTGGGCGCGAGCGCGGCCGCCCCACCAGCCAGGCGCCACCCCGCGGTCGCCGGACACCCGCCCGCAGGGCAGCAGGTGAGGCTGGACTCCGCACCGCGCGGTCGTGGGCGGCTCCCGGGGCGGCGGTCGTGGCGGCAGCCTAGGAGGCCCCGTAGCCGCAGGGCCAGCGCCGAGAGAGGGCAACAGAGCGCCTTCCCTGGCTGGCCCGGGAGTCCACCATGCCCAGAAGGGTGGGGGCCGGTCCCCGGGGTCCCGGAGAGAGTGTGTCTGGGTGTTCGGCAGGGCGTGGGCCAGGGCACACGTGCCAGGGTTCGCTGTGTTTTGGATGGAAGGGCCCGAGGGCATGACATCGAGTCACCTGAGGGTGAGTGGCCACCTGAAAGGGCACATCCCAGCCCGTGTGCTCCTGGGAGGGTGGTAGTGGGCGCCTTGCTATCACAAGCCCTCAGTTACAGGGCTGGGCGCCTTCGGGACCCAAAGGGGGTGTGGCCAGATGGGGGAAGTCCCCCGTAGACTAGCCTAGATTGCCCGCAGGGCCCTGGGTCCTGTTACAGGTTGGCTCTGAGCGGATGGTCCATGCCAGCCGGGTGTGGGCAGCAACGTCCCCAGAGTCCCATGCCACCCGGGTTCAGGAAAAGCGGCTAAGTCGGCTGCCAGGCC